ACGCTTTCTTTTTAGACAGCAAAGAACGTTGTTGTTCTTATGTTTTAGAATGAAACATACTCACAATAGTCAGAAGGAGAAACTCTTCTATAAACAAAATTTGTGACTGAGAATTCCAGGCAGATCACATTCACACCTTTCTTACGCTGAATCGTATGCAAGTCAATAGCCTCCAAGTTAGGATGAATATAGTAGTTCAAATTAACTCTTTTTTTCAAACGCTGGACTGTTCTCCATTCTCACGTCTACTTTTTCCTTCTTTCTTTTTGGTTGCCATGTACGTCAGTAAATTGATAACAATGAAATATGAATTGTTATCTAGCGTAATCACTGGGAATATAAGATTCCAAGATGCTTCTCCCTTTCTTGCCTTTTTTAACATTGTTTCTCTCTTCTGTATAACAAATGATGAAATCCTTTTGTGTCTATGTGTCAAAATGAATGGTATCCGTATTGTGCATTATAATAACGAAGAAAAAAGGATGATAAGAAAAATACTTTTCTTTTGAATCAACTGTGTGCCTTCTTTTCTCCCTATATCAGTAAAAGAAAACAAGTTAGTTTTTACCATTCGTGTAATCGATTTCGTATTGCTTATCAGCGTAATTATGGCTAGCAGTTCAAGATGTCTATTCAACCAAGAAACTTGTCATCAAAATTATTTCTCAACTTCAGTTGGTCTCACGGAAGGTTTCAGTGAATGTGGCGGAAATGAAATCGAATGTCGTCACTTATGTGAAAATAGATCAGATTTTCCATCGTTAAAAGCAGTGAATTCTAAAATGGAATACTTATTACCACAACATGGATGTTACGACCTTGGTCCAATCAATATTTATAATTATCATGTCTGTGAAAATCATCTGAAGTTAATAGACAGCCACATTATCAAATCTTGCTCAATCTGTAAACCGATTTTTTCTCGTCGGAATAGCAACAGAGGTGATTTTCGTGTAATCGATAAACTACATGCATTTGCTATTTGGAAAAATGATAAAAAGTCTTTTTTCGGTAAACTCATGTGCACGTCATGTAGGAAGGCTTTAGACAACCAGGAAAACAATTACATAACGAATGAAATAAAACAACAGTGTGATCAATTATTTGAATGGTTATATAATTTTGATGTCTTTCATACACCAACAACAATCTCATCTAAATCAAGTACATCAAGTTATAGTCCAACGATTTACAGTGGGGCAGCTCGTGATGATCAAGAAGTTCTGAAGAACTTTCTGCGAAGTATGAACCATACATATGAAATTCCCGTTACATTTTCTTACAATGGTTGTTCTTCAAAAAGTAAACAAAATTTTTGCAGTTTCATAAAGCATATTTTACAATTCATTGTGCAAATCGTTGCTCCAAATGATTCAAATCAGGTTTGGTCTGATATCGTTGAAACTTCGGCTGATTCATTGCATGTTAGTAATATTCATATGGGTAAAGACTTTGAAATAGTTATGAGCGGCCTAGCTGAATCGTATGAAAACTGTGATCATTGATCCACGAAAAGGCAGATATTGTCCACATTCGCAAAAGAAGTGCCATCACCAGTAATACAAAAGTTTATTCCTGATCTGACTGATTGGTGATTCAAGCAAGCAAGAGCTCATGCTGATTCAGAAGGAAAAGGAAGTATTGTCGATGCGTCTCGTCAACCAATCGTCAGATACACCGATGAACAGATAGTACATTTTGTGCAATTCATTACTTCACCACACGTTTCAACAGATCTACCATTTAAACAAAAAACTTTAAAACTTTCTACTGGAGAGGAAATTGAAATACCAAACGTTATTCGAAATTTAATTCCAAAAAGATCAATATATGTTATATTGTACTGAAATGTCACCAGGATTTGTACCATTAGGAACGAGTTCACTGTATTCGATTCTTAGTAAATGCTCCGCTTCAACTATGAAATCACTTCAAGGACTGGACTATTTTGCAGCAGATGGTTCGTCTTCATTCGATACTTTGATGAAATTGACAGACGAACTACTCCATTTAGGTACGATGTTTTCATGTATTAGATTTTTGCAAGACCATCTCGAAGCCTGAGATCGTTTTATTCATCAAAAGACGAAACAAAGCTTGAGTAAAAATACTCATTTGAACGTTAGATAGACAGAATGTTGATCTTTGTTCCAGAAGTGCAAGAATGTTATGAGCTTATGAGGATGAGACGTACAGCGAGAATCTACCGTGTCAGATCATTGCTCAACTTTTGCGGTGTCGGATAGCAATGAAAAATTATGGCAACAGGAATGTAAACATCACCATAACGATAACTGTGAAAGATGTGAATTGATGAACGAAACTTTTAGTGCAATTGAAATATGCATTAATAAAATAGGTGATTCGGCATTACGTGAACGTCTATCTCATCGATTACAACATCATGTTCGAATAATAATAGAATGGAAAGCTCATCAACTTCGTCTCGCACACCAATATTATGCTAGAACGGAGCTTTTACAACAATTGGATGAAGAAACTGTGTTTTTGTATATCGATTGGGCCATGAAATGGTTACCGGTGCGCTATAGAGAAGCTCAACGGGACTTTTTTGCTAAAAGAGATTTATTATGGCACGTGTCATATGTTATTCGTAAAGCTCCAATCGATCAATCATCACAATTAGTTAGTCAATCGTCTAGTTTTTCACAATCGACTACTAGTCAGCAATCGGATGTCTCAAAATCAGAGCAGTTGAGTTCTTCTTCACCCTCACCCCCTTCATCTCGGACTCCATATCAACATAAAACATTCGTTCATGTGTTCGATCAGTGCGTTCAAAACGGAAAAACTGTTCTGAGTATCCTTCGTTATATGATCCTACGGCTAAAAGAAGAATTTCCTGGTATTAAATATGCTCATATAAGAGCAGACAATGCGGGATGCTATCATGGTGCTGAGACGTTATTATCAACCTCAACGTTATATAAAGAGACTGGCATTTGGATTAAAAGTATGGATTTCTGTGATCCACAGGGAGGAAAGGGTCCGTGCGACCGCATGGCTGCAGTGATCAAATGCCAAATTCGTTCTTTTATTAATCAGAAAAATAATTGTACGACTGCTGTCGAGTTTTATAAAGCTGCGTCATCCACGAAAGGACTGGAAATACATGCATGCGCAATTGATGTTCAGAACGTACAAAAAATTGAATGGCCTGGAGTTAGTAATTTTCATAATATCGAATATACAAGCAACGAAGTTCGTGTCTGGCGATCGTGGAAAATTGGAGAAGGAAAACCATTCAAGTGGTCAAAGATTTCTGCATTGAAATCTATTAATGTATTAAATTCGATTTTTACTCCAAATCAAAAAAGTCTATGGATTTTGGAGTCGAAAACAAATGGTACGTTAGACAGTTAGTGAACAGAATATGAGATCATCTTGTCCGATAACAATTTTACGTAGCTTGAGTTCACTTTTTGAGAAAAGTAACAGTATGGGTCAGCAGGCACTCAAAGCCCTAGAAAATTTGCGAGCATGATTGTGCTTCCATAGGAAATTTATTCTAGGACATCTTCATTTTGCCATCTAATAGCATCTTTTCCCCTTGATTTTTAGTAAACAAAGACAACACTTTATCTAAAGATGAAGAAGAAGACTTTTCCAGTTCTGATGAAGAAAACTCGGATTCAACGCAAATATTTTATTGCCCAGAAAACGAATGCACTAAGGAATTTCGAAAATATGGAAATTTGCTTAATCATATTGCATCCGGAAAACATCGTCCAAAACTAGAACGGATGACACTTTGACTGAAGTAAATTATTATATAAAGAGAGTCTAGAATCTGTGCATGATCAGCCGTTACCATCACTACCGTTTCAATTTCATGTCCTGAAACATGCGTCACAAAAAACGTCAACAACACAATTAAAGCAACAATGGGCAGCGCTAACAAAAAAACCGGCTATTCAATTTAGTGATAAACAGAAAAAGTATTTAACCGATAAATCTGAACAAGGAGTACAAGGTATGAAATGGGATCCTCAAGCAGTCGCACTGGAAATAAAAGTTCGTTCGTCAAGTACAGGAACACCTCTGTTCGATCATCACGAATGGCTAACCGATACACAAATAAAAGGATTTTCTGGCCGTCTAGCTGCAGCACGTCGCAAACGACAATCACCCCCATCAGCTACTAAGCCTCAACGTTCGTCAGCATCACAACTTTCACAATCAGATTCGGATGAAGAGTCAGAAGAACTAGATACAACGGTTCTTGATGTCGATGAAATTATTTCTAGAGTTGCAGATCAAAGTGCTTCAAAAGCTGTACTTCATCCAACAACAGCCTCGACAAATATTCAACAACATAAAAAAACGGACATTTCCATGGATGACATTCAAAGTGTTGTAAAAAGGCAACACAAATAAACTAAAAATATTTAACGTATTTATATTTTCTCTGTTAAACTGCCTGCGTATGTTGAAACACAAGAATGAGTATATAAAAAAATTATCTTAACAAGAGGAATTATGAACGATATTACACTATGCTTAAGTTAAAGTTTATTGTGTATATTCTAAGTTTCTTCAAAAAATATGATCTGCCTGGAATTCTCAGTCACAAATTTTGTTTATAGAAGAGTTTCTCCTTCTGACTATTGTGAGTATGTTTCATTCTAAAACATAAGAACAACAACGTTCTTTGCTGTCTAAAAAGAAAGCGT